CTTGGTAAGATTTCAGACTTCAGTGGATGATAACCAGCCATTTTGAAAGAGTTCAATTTTCGGCATGCACTTTCTTATTCAAGAGTGAAATTTGTTTCTGGGGATTATTTTCAAAATATCTATAAAGTAAACTAAATATGCAATTATGTTTTGGCAGTCATGAGATTTAATTTCAACATTTAAGGCCACACACACATTGTTGCATCCATTGACAATTTCAATTTTGTGCTGAAAATCATGGCATTTTTAAAATGAGGGAATGAATTTTTAAAAGCAGAATTTTTTATGAGCAATAACAAACAAGGTCAAATCAGCAAGATTAAAAAACTTTGTGACAACAGAAACAACAATGTTCCCACAGTAAAAAAAGACTCTGATGAGTTTTCTTCCCAGAGGAATCTGTGTTTTCTCTATAGACAAATATTTCAAATATACGCAGTTCAGTAAGTTATTATTAAAATTGATTTTTCCAGAAACAACGAAAGATTTTTCTGCATATTTACGGCAATCATTTCATAAAAATTCAAATCAACAGGTTCCGAAATATTTGATGGAAGATTGATAAAAAGGCTTTATATTTTCCCGGTTAGAAATGGAACGTGAATGAAATTTCAGCGTACAGTATAATCATTTCTCACCTGGCTTTTTCAGGGTAGATGTCGCTCGTGAAAACCGAGTAATGTACGCAACTGCATTCGGATCGACTCTTTTGATCTATGTACAATAATAAGAATGATCTTCAGCATTTAACACCATCATAACATTTGGCTGATTTTTGTTTTGCTCACCATGTTCATCAACAAGTGCTGATATTTTGCAAAAACCACGCCATTCATCTCCGTGTCCGCCAACAGCCAGTCGGTTTCATTTTGAGTCAAAGTGAGTTGCATACTGACATCAAAGAGATTTGATGGATTGAAGTTCGTTGGAACAGCTGTCGTAAAATTAAAACAAACATCAGTTTGTATAGTAATTCTTCTCTCACTCCACTTTTTGTGCATTAATATCGAAAATCCTGTGATACTATACAATATATGGGAGAAAAAAATCACTCTTTCAGCAATATTCTCACAAAGCAATCAGTTTTGCTAAAAAATATAAAACTCAATTCCTTCACTTGTATGCAATCACAGAGTGGTACCAAAGCCAAGCTTGGGTTCTCACAAACCATAATCCGTCTTATGTTTCATTATTATGAAGCAACTAATATGGCCTCTGAGGTCACACTCTTTTACCTGAAATGATTGATGACCTCTAAGGTCAACTTTAATTTAAAAAGTTTTCTTGGTTCTCAATGACCTTAAAATCAATACATACCAAACCTGATCCTTAGCCCAAGCAGATGCTTGGCCATCAATGTTTTGCATATGTTTTTTGCATCGCTCTTCTTTTCATTTTGTGTTTGATTGCACTTTGAAGTTACCTGGACTGACAATTTTCCTTCTTTCTTTATTCTCAAAGAAATATCCCAATTTATAAAGGAGGAATAAACTAAATTATTTTTTACTACAATGCAGTAAACTCTTGGTAAAAAAAACTTATACAGACTCCAGAAAAGTT